GACGAGGAGGAGAGGAGGAGGAGGAGGACGAGGCAGGAGGAGGCAACTGACATAAAATCTAACAACCCTCACCTGGCAGGTGGGGAAAAACCTAAAACATAATAAGCCACTTTTGCAAGTCCAACATTGCGAAAGATGGGATATCGCATTGTTCTACATCGTTTCCTCCGAAAATTACAACACTGCCATCATTACGAAGAAATCCTGTGTAAACACAGCCTGCAAAAACTTAATTGTACGACATTCCTTCATCCAAAGGTAGAATATACCATCGGATCAAAACAAGGTCAAACACCAAAATTATTTTGATTTTTTTTTGTTGTGAGAATGTTTTCGTCAAAATTATTTTAAAGGGGGGTAACCCATCAAAATAATTTCCAACCAGAAATTATTTTAGTAATGGTTAGAGTCTATAAATCTATACATCCAACATGTTAGATTTTTAAAATTATTTTCAAAAAATTATTTTGGAGGGTAATCCCCCCCCTTGAAATAATTTCATTAAAATAGGAGGGATAATAAATTAGATAGATCAGATAGATCAGATAAATTAGATCGATTAGATCGATTAAATCGATTAAATCGATTAAATCGATTAAATCGATTAGATCGATTAGATCCGATTAAATCGATTAAATCGATTAGATCGATTAAATCGATTAGATCGATTAGATACATTAAATAGATTTGAAAAATTAAATAGATAAAAAAGATAAGAAAGATAAAATAGATAAAATAAATAAGATAGAAAAGATTAATAAGATAAATAAGTCAGATAAGATAGATAAAATAGATCGGAAAGATCAGATAGATTTGATAGATCAGATATATTAGATGGATTAGATATATTATATAGATCAGATAGATTAGATAGATAGATAAGATAAGATAAGATCAGGTAAGATGAGAAAAGATGAATAGATAGATGGATAGATAGATAATGGATGGAGAGATAGATAAATAAGATAGATTAGATAGATCAGAAAGATCAGATAGATCGGATAGATTAGATAGATTAGATAGATCAGATAGATCAGATAGATCAGATAGATCAAATAGATCAGAAAGATAGATAGATAGACAGACAGATACAAAGGCAAAAAGATAAATAAATCCATAAATAGAAAGGGAGACGAGGAATCTAGGGTAGAGCG